TTACGATTCTGTATATTGCGATGGCACTGCGACACGAAACGTTGGCAACACATACTGCCCTTTGTATACGATTACACAGAGATATATTCTACATAATGCAGTGATAATTATCGGGGCGCACGATAGAGTAAAACTTGTTTAGAACTAGTTGCTTATCTAATGACGATACGATACGTGTACTATTACAATAAACTAGCATTAATGTCGCGCCGATACACTCAGTGTACATCTACAGTAGTCATATAAATAGTATTATAATCGAGTTTGTAGTCACTTTATTAAATCATCGATTTTATATAATAATGTTTTACATCATCTCGCTAGGAAACTAGCTACTGTATTAAAGGACTAAAAGCAACGTCCTTCATAACTTATAGTACGTAACTATTTTAATTTAATATACAAAATACCTAGAAAGTCATAGTATCTTTTAGTTTTACCCTGCCAATTCTTTATGTCGCCATCTTTTCTTCTTTATTAATTTACTAAGTATTATATAGATTACAATAGGAGTAAACTAAGAGCAATCACCTAATCTAAAGAAAGGACATTTCATAGTATACTGAGATTATAGTGTCACGGTACGCCGTTACTAATTAAGTAACTGTAAATTAATGAAAGCTTATGAATAGATAAGATAAGGTTATGTGCTATGTTTTAATGCGCTTGTAGCTGATAATAGGGTGGTAGAAATGAGATAAAAATAGAAGTTGTTAGCAGTTAATTTACTGTAGGTTTATAAGGTGTGTTAATCTCTAAAAATTGAGCTGTATATAGACGAAGGTTAAGTGTCTTAACACCTGATAGCTTGTAGCTATCTAAGTCTGAGAATATCGACATGTATATTTAGTAATGGTATTATACTAGTTAATGTAACTTGTAAAGCATGAATTCTCACTCGTTAATATTGGAATTCACTGTAGAAACCTATTTAAGCGCGTGTGTTTGTAGAATAAAGTAAGTAATTGCTTAAGGAACGGCAAGACTCATATCGTGAAGAATAGTGTAATAATTAGCCAGTTGTCTGTGGAGATCAGCCGAGAAAGCGAGTTCTCAAATACTTCTCTCATAGAAACTGAAAGTACTGGGAGAAATAGCCCAAGTTTTAAAGTAACTACACTAGAGTTCTTTACTTTCCTTTGCCACAAGTGGGGGTTGTGACATATAGATAAATTTAACTTAGTAACAAAACCCTATCCATAGAGAAAGGGGATTTATAACGTGACAATAAAGTAATGTAATGTTGGCTATAATCGTACAGTTACCGTGCAACTTCTCGCTAAAACATCAACCGATAATGCTAAAGTCAAAAAAGTAGTCATAGTTGTCATATAAAATGTTTTGATAAGCGATTACTGCGATCTTTATAAAATTCGGACTTTGGAGATTCGGATTCCGGATCCGGTCGGATTTATGTTTGATATTATTTTAATTTTTTTTTTAATTTTTGGGATTTTAATTTTTGAAAAATGCTATAAGAGT